AATTTATGCCAATTTAAAAAAAATTATGACACTCAATTTGCTATACGTATCAAACCAATCGTATGTTTTTTCAATACTTGTTATCAGAGAAGGTTGTTTAATTAAAATAACAATAGTTTGATCAATCACATTTCGCAATCACAATCTGAAAATACGTTATTTCTTTCGACTATATTGCTACAAGCTAGATCAATAAAATCGTTTTACACGCTTGAGAAAGATTAACGATTTCTATCTTGAAATTTAACAACGTATCAATAAGCATTCGAATATGCTTCCAGAAGTTCAAGTTCAACATAAATAAAAGAAAATGTAAAGAAATTTGCCAATGACAATGATAAGCGTACATCTGTACGTGTGCATGATAAATTATTTTCATTATTCGCTTGATTTTGATCCTTAAGTATCCAGAAATTTTAGAGGGAGATAATGAATAATCGTGGAAAAGTGGCGACCGATAATTATCGCGAAAGAATTTCACCGTAATTAATCTTGAAAGCTTTGTTGTACACATCCGGGGCTACGTTGCCATTAATTGACCCCTTTCCTGAAGTTAAATGATTTATCGTCTTCTGCGGATCACTTCGTCAAACTATTATGTCAGAATATCGCTGAAATATCGACTGCTTAAGACGTTGTTATATTAATTTAATGAAAGGAAAAAAGATCAATTTCGAAGAATACGAGAGAAACGTCGTTTCACTTCACTTCTGATAATTAAACATTCTTTGCATTGCGATTTCGTTCCATTGGAGGAAAGCAGTGTTTTCCAACATTTCGAGTAAAAAGTTCGAAACGAAGAGAAAATTGCGATTGGACCTAATCTTTAAATATTATAAATATGAATCATTATCTATGCTCATCGATAAAGCGATTTTTTTATCTGTTTTCCTTTATAATTAGACTATTTTAACGTGTTATAATTTGCTCTTAAAATTGCAATCTATATTATCACCAAGACGCCATTTTGCTTAGTTTTCATTATTTTACTGTTACGTTGCTTATAACTCAGCTCTGTTTTAGTGAAACACAAATTAAAACCTATATCTATCGCTAAAGCACTTTCTGGTCTATTCTTTGTCATTTTGCTTTTATAGGTTATTCTAAAATTGGACTTTAAGGCGTCTATTTTTCGTTTCTATAATATATTATATCATATTATTTATAAATCATCTTAATTTAAAATTGGTTAAATGTTTAAGCACAAATGTGCTTATGCATGTTCTCTACTAAAGCTCTAATATATTTTTCATTACTTTGCTCTTATAAGTCTATAGTTTGAATTCATTCTGAATTAAAATCTTCTCAAATACAAGTACAAATCGTAATATATCATTAATTCCATATTCTATTATATCGTTTACAATTTAATCACCCCAATCTAATATAATTTAAATATTCAAATTGCAATTCTAAAATGGTAAATCAAAAATTTCATAACTCGTAAATCCACATTTTTATTAAAGATCGATCGAAACTTGATTTTTTGATGAAAAATTTAATTCAATTTATCTTTTTCCTTTCTTTCTTGAATTCTCCAATCATAAAACATATCGAGTTTTCGAAACTTACTCATTTTGTTTCTACGCCGGATATTATTGCAAGAGTTATAATATCATAATATCTCCTATCCTGGGTTTCATAATTCGATATCATATATAGTCGTTTTTTTATGATCGTAAATTACCATTGTTATCGATAACGGTTAGACGCCGTTTTAGATGTGCTATGTTTAATCAATTAAGAATACTGGCATGATTTATAAAAATTCGTTTAATTTAGACTAATATTTTAAATGATTGATTTTTAATTTTTAACTTTTAAAACAAATTTTGAAACAAAAATGAAAAAATTTGAGGTTAATATAACCTTTAACTTTTAGCTAAAATCAGAAAGTCTTAATGATATACTTTACAATATATTCAATATATCTTTCAGTATATTTTGCAATTACTATATTGTTTTTTCCATATTTATTTTTTTTTTATACCCAAATACTATTATAGTACTCAAAATAGACAAAATATTATATCAAAAATAATATATATTATCATTTATATTTTAATTGCTTCTTTAATTTAATTGTTTAATTTAAGCGCAAAAATCAATTTTAACAAGCTATTTTATCATATACAGCAATATTAATATTTTTTGTCTTCTATAAAAACTTACATTCTCGAAATCATTTGCTCTCCATTTAAGTGATAAAACCACATAAAAATTAATCTTCATCTCGATAAACAATGATAAGGTTATGGTAATACGCGTGATAATAAAACATTTTTTCTTTGTTTCTCGCACAATTCGTCACAATTATTTATCGTCTCGTTTTATTTTCAATATTTTCCCAATTGTCACAATTCTTAACACATTCATGTAACAATAAATTTAATATGCGAGACATTTCGAATCGAAAATATCGACAGAGTTCAAGAAACTCTTCGACTATGCGATTCGCAAGTGTTCCACATACCTGTCAACGTTATCGTTATTCGTGCATACAGAAACGTGTCAATGATTTTTGTATTCGGCGGCCTCGTTTTCCGGATCGATTTCGATTTCACGGCCAGTTTCACAGAAATTATATTGTGTCACGAAAGTGATGGTGGACGTGGCTATTGCGAATTTTTGGAAACTCGGTCGATAATTCTTTAGTCGATAAAAAAGGGAATAAAAAACGATTTAATGCTACTATTAGGGTTAGATAAAAAATAATATTCGTTTGCTTATATTTCGAGAACAAAATAGATAGAATAGAATAGAATAGAATAGAAATAAGAATGAAACAATTTTTTTAGCTTCAATAAAATACAGATGACTGAAACTCGTAGATCAATTTTTCAATTTTTAGTTCAATTTAATAAATTATACGAGCAAAATATAATTATAAAAATTGCTATATTTAGATAAGATATAAAATAAATTCTTTATTATCTATTGCATATTCATTGTTGAAATAATAAGTCTTAGTTGCTTTTTTTCTAAATCAAGTAAAAAAAATGAATTTGAATTAAACCTGGATTTTATCTGTGCATAAGAAGACATAGAACATAAACGTAAGAAGACGGTTTTTGTATGAGACATAGTGTATTTGTATCAATATGCATACGTAGAACATTCCAAAAATTTAATTATTCTCTTATCTAATGTATTTATACATACTTTTAGTAACAATTATGACAAAACGAATGTCGTAGATTTGTTATATTTAATATCAAATTATGGTCCTGATAATAGAAGATTTTTTTCATAACCGATTCAACTTTAATTTTTTAGCAAGCAAAGGATTAAAGTAAAGAAAAACGATGTTTTGCACATTTGTAAAGGAAAAATATATATTTTAGTAACATATTTTTATTTATATTACGCACAAGTGCATAAAATAATTAGACATAAAGTGGAATGTATTTTACATTTTTACATTTGCTATTAAAAAAATTAATATTTAATGAATATTTTTATGGATAATAACGATTAAATTTACGGGTGGTATTTGTAATTGCTAAAACTTTTTTACAACTCGGCCATTCCATTCTTTGTTTTTCTTTGCTTAACTGTATTAAAAGTCTTTCCATGTTCAACGTTTTAATAATTGAATAAGATTTTAAGAGTGTTTTAGCATAATTCGAGTGAATAGAATCTGTCCAAGTAAATGAAGATGGAATACCACGAACCACGGTAAGCACTCACATCCCGAAATTATGTAAATCGTATCTACAGAATCGAAATAAAAATTTTTGGTTCATTCGTTTTCTATTTCTAATATCTAAGATTTCAACGTTTGATGAAAATTAAATAATCATTCGAAAACCTTCGAATTTTATTCCTCTAAGAATTGTTAAGATATTAATAAAACAAATTGCTATTTTACTTATTTATTCCCAATTTTTTCTAATATATAGAAACACAATATTTTTTTGATAATTTGTTATTATAAGTTAAAATCTTTTTTCTATTAGTCTCTCCGACTTAATTAATTTTCTACAAAAAAGATAAAAAAATTACTAATTAGATTATATATTTCAGAATATATAGCAATTTAAATTAAATTTATTTTACCTCTTTGTTGCTATTATTACTGTATTTATTTCTTTTTTAATATATAATAAATGTAACAAATGCGTATATCGACAGTTATATATACGTGTGTCTTTATATATTTTTATCTATTTATTTTTTTTCCAATTTGTTGAAAGTTCACCGATCAACAAATAACTGGGCCATTCGTTCTACCTTTTTTTGAAATCACTTTTTAAAATTTCCATTTAATTCAACTAGCAACTAGCAGCAAAAATGAATCCTTCTCAAATGATTAATTTATATCTCAAACGATCTCTTCTATTAGATCACGATTTAAATTGGCCAGCGGCTTCCGTTCACTCACCTGTCGAATTTCGTTCGGTAGACCGGTTGACAGTTAAAGCCTGGAGTAAAGTGAATCCGATACAGAGACGTCTCAGTCTCTCCCCGCACTTTTGAAAACCTCTTTTCCTCTCTTCCGAGCCACCTGCAAGAACGGGCTTTCCATTAAAACTCGCCGGGACACGGCTCGCCTCTTCGAGAAGGACAGAAACGATTTAATCTGTCATCAGGATACTTTTTATCGCAGTTTTGTTCATCTCGACTCGATCGATCAATCTTCGAATCGAAACAGATTCGTTCAATTCTTATTTTTACAAAGGTATAAATAGAAAAATTCTCTTTCCCGATTCAATTAATTATAAATAGATGAAAGAGCTTGATTTTTTTCTTGTATATATACAAAAAAAAGAAAATTAAAATTGGAATGCATTATAAATATATTTTAAATCTGCAATGTGTAAAATAATAGAAAGATTATTGTATCGTATAGGATGTTGGAACAATCTTTAGAGGATCGATTCTAGATGTCAAAACGAATAGAAAAGTTGGTATACAAGAATATTGATTAAGGCTGCAAGCAATTGAAGTTGGCGTTACGTGAAACGAGATGGAAACACGCTGGAGGCAGCGATGTGACGAAGACAGATCATATTTTCTAACGCAAACTTCAATTGTTTAAGTCTTTTATTAAGGGTCTATTTTTGTAACCTAACCTAACTTTTATATTTCTCTTAGATCTCAAAAAGAATAATGTAATGACAATTACAAGGAATAAGATGTAATATAAATATGAAATATTTTTTTCGATTATTTATTCTTCGATATATTGACTCGTTCAGATTCTATCCGTTTTTTCGAAATTATCCCAATCCTTTTTTAAATACTTTAGAATAGTAGAAATATGATTTCTACTTACATTATCGCCACTGTATATATGTGAATGCGAGTAATTGATTTTTTTGTTCAATATTTTTTATTAAACATTATTTTTTACCGTAATCTGATTACAGTGAAAATAATATTTTCCTTATCGGAACACGTGTTATTATTATTTGTTTCTGTAGAACGAAATATTATTCATAATTATTCATTAGGAAATTAAAATATTTGCTTAAACGATATATCGATGAGGGAATAAATGCACAGTAATTGGGATCGATTGTACATGCAACGATAGACAAAAGAAAGGAATAAAATTGTTTCATTTGATTCGAGTAAATCAGATTTGAAGATTTTTCAAATGAAATTCCCTGTTGGATACGAATGAGATAGAAGATAATAAAAAAAATGTAGAATAAAATTTTTTATTTGAAAACTAGTTTTTGAGAAAATTCGAAAAAAATTCTATGGCTTATATGTTCAATCTAATTCCACATTTTTTTCATTCAAATATTTTTATATCATATAATAGTTGCTCTATTATATCATTCCATTGCTGTAATAATTCAAAATCTATATTTTTTTAAATTATTAAAATTTATGCTTCAGAATAAATTAATATTTTTGAAGTTGTCTTATTCTATGATATATGTTCCATTAAATATCTTATATAATTCGAATTTAAAAGGAAGAAATATAAAGATTACGTCTCATTGAAATTTGAGAAAGAAAAATTTGACATATAGAAATATTGTATAAATATTTTTTCAATTGTAAGATTTCAAAAAAAAATTCGCAAATTTCGTTTTTTATTATTTCCAGACATTTGACACGATTTTATCGTTTCAAAAAAAAGGTCGTATGAAAATATCGAATTCTAATGACAATTCGAATTGTAGAGAATTTAACGATGCTCTCAATGTTACAATTAAAAGAAAAATTTTGATCAAAAAATCGTTGCTCTTTAAATTTATTATAATTTTAGAAAAAAATATGTATTAAGAAAATTTAATTTTAATACGTGAAAGTAGAGGCTTTGCCCTTTAATATGAGATCAGATCGATCATTATACGATATTTCTTTTCGAAATTATAGTAATTTAAAGATTGAATCCAATTTAATATAAAAATAATTTTTATTTTTAAAAATCAGTTAAAGTTACTCAAAATTTAATTGTAGAAATTAATTTAACAATATGACAACTAATTCGATTAATACTTCGAGATTTTCGAATTATAGAGATTGTATTTTTTTTAAAACCTTCTTAGAGACAAATAAATTGTACTTAATACATAAAAAGAGAGATGATAGTTTCAAATATTACAATATATTGATATTTTGATTTTAATATTAAAATTTTTAATTCAACTTTTAACTACTTCTATAGTTGCTTCTCATATTCCATTGAATAATTTTAATATCAAAACTTTCTAATAACACGTACTTGTTAAAATGATATACATCAGATCTATCGTAGCTTTCATATACTAATTAATTAAATATGTTATTTAACAGTAATTCTTTTCAATTATAAGAATATAAAATTTTCATTTAAACATTATACAAACATTCGAAATAAAAATATTTAAAATAACTATACGTATAAAGCTATTCCAAAATAATCATTTATTTTCTCCTCTTCTAAAAATTTCATTTTTCCCAAATAATTATCTGAATGAAATTATCACTGTTCAAAACGAGCAAAAAATCAAAACAAATTATCAGAATATTTCCTTACGTAAAAACATTCGAAACAACATAACTTAAAAGTCCAGATTCAAAAAATAACAAATTAACTCACTCGTTCTTCCTTAAAATTTCATTTTTCTCGATAACGAGCGATATATCAGAACAGGGAAAAAAAAAAAAATTAATCAGAACGATTCCAATTAAGAAAATCATTTACAAAATAAATTGGAAAATTGCATCATGTACCTGTCTATCGTAACGATTCCTCTATCCCTCTATCATCCAGTAACTCGGTGCAACTTCATCCAGGCGAGCACGCACTCTCGACACTCAATTTGTTCACGCTCAATGAATCCAGTTTGCCGACCGCGCAAATCTTCTCAGCCTTGAACTTGCCACGAAACTATCCCTCTGTCTCACCCGACATTTTTTCCTGTTTTTACCAAACATCGGCTCCCTCCTCCTCTCCTCCGATCCAAACAATTCGATACTCTTCCTCGATACGTAACTCTTCCCCTCTAATGATCACAAAATCCAAAAAAAAAGAAAAAAGAGAATCTCAAACCTCTCTCTTTCTCTATCTCTGTATTTCTCTCTCTCTCTCTCTTTCTTTCTCCTCTCTCTCTCTCTCTCTCTCTCTCTCTCTCTCTCTCTCTCTCTCTCT